TAGCTGGAAAAAGATTTTCCTTTCACATATAGCAAAAAAACACCATGATATTATTTGGGGAAAAATATGAATTATATTATATCATATTTAACATTTTCATACACGCTTATAGATAACTAAAATATTTGGGTTTTTTAAATCCGAAATTTGTCCGACAGTTGGCTTTCGTTCGTATATGTTTCACAATATTTCCTATGGCCATGCTATTGTCATATATGACTTCTGTCAGACATGTGATTAAAGGATCATAAATATATAAATAAAACTACATGTATGTTTTGTTCCGAGCGGGTGAAATGAACAAGTTTGATGCAGCATACGAATATGTTGACTCCCTCAGACCATATCAGCATTGTAATATTAAATTGGTATGCAATAAAATTATCTTTGTAATATTTACCATTAATTTTTGACAAATACATCCATTTTGTAACATGAAAATTAATGTGTTGAACAATTTTTTCAAGAATAATAAAGCATGATGTTAATATTATTTAAGTCGTACCAAAATTCCTCGGAAATTTCTGTATATTCCTTACCGACGGAAGCTACCGACACAGCAATACACTGAAAAATCAACGTGGCACGTATCACAGGAATACTATACCGTGCTAAACCGGTATACCGCTTATACGGACACTCTTCATGATGCATTATCATAAACTGACCCAGTGTGGCTTAGTGGTCTAAAGTACTCGTCTTTACCGATCACACCCATTTCACCTCTGGGTTCGAATCTCGGGCCTTGCCAATGTATGTATGTGAGAAAGCTTCCCAGTGGCTTCCATTGGGTCGATTGTTTTTACAGGGTTTTCCTTCGTTTCTTCCTCCGCCAGTTATACTGGCCTCAATGTATAGCCTATTGTGTACTAATAACTGATGTGCTTAATTACGTAGGTAACTTCGTCAGACATGCACGTATTTGACATAATTATGAAACTACTGCTATAAATTATTTATGTTGTAAAACCTCCTTATAAAGCGTGCAATTAAAGATTTTAGAAAGGACATCCTGCTTTTCGCCCCTTACGTTGTCTATGAGAATAAATAGATAAAAATGGACTTTAACTTACTATGGTGTGATTGTTGCAATGATAAACTGAGAGGAGACTGAATCAGTAAACGAGGCGAAGACCCGTTATCAAATAAGAAGTATTGACCTACTGTAGCATTATCAATTTCGAGACAAAGCTATAAAGTGTGACACAGACTATAAAATGTTTTTAGACACCATATAAACTAGAAAAAAAAAGCATTGTATACCAACGGACCACGCACGCACTAGATATTGCTCAACAACGGATATTAACGAATTGAGACATCCGCACGTGACTGCTGAATGCTCTTACAACAGACCGGTTTCAAGCTAACTATTAAATAATATTAAAAAGTATTATACACATAATAAGTGAACATTTCAACGACATGAAAGCGTCTTGGACACATAATAAGGAGAAGATTAGTACGATCATATAAAAGATCTGAAATTATTGAAATAACCTATACAAAATGAAAACATGCTGCGTCTCTATTCCAGCAGTCGAAGACAAAAACATACCATCATTGCAGTGACCCATCCGACCTCCAGTTCGCAAGTAGAACTATGTATGTATGTATGTATGTATGTATGTATGTATGTATGTATGTATGTATGTATGTATGTATGTATGTATGTATGTATGTATGTATGTATGTATGTATGTATGTATGTATGTACGTACGCTCGCACGTACGTACGTTTTTACATACATACATACGTACGTACGTACGTATGTATGTATGTATGTATGTATGTATGTATGTATGTATGTATGTATGTATGTATGTATGTATGTATGTATGTATGTATGTATGTATGTATGTATGTATGTACGTACGCTCGCACGTACGTACGTTTTTACATACATACATACATACGTACGTACGTACGTATGTATGTATGTATGTATGTATGTATGTATGTATGTATGTATGTATGTATGTATGTATGTATGTATGTATGTATGTATGTATGTATGTATGTATGTATGTATGTATGTATGTATGTATGTATGTATGTATGTATGTATGTATGTATGTATGATTGTATGTAGTGCCAGCTAAAGTAAATGTTCAAAAAATGTAAACATGTGTAGCACAAAACTCAGAAAGATAAATCCTTCAAAAATATATAAACATCAACAGATACAATGTAAATATTATTAAAAGCTGTAAAATGTATATAAAACAAAAAAGAAAGATATCACATGTAATATCCTTAAAAGATCTAATAAATATGTTTTATAAAAACCACATCCGCACAAAATTTCCCAGAGTCTGATCCCTGACGTATGTAATATGTAGAAGAAAAGTTAGTTTGCGGTCGAAAATGACCCCTAAAAATCATTTTGCTCCACAATAGGAATAAGACAACGGTCGATATAGAGTCTTAGATCGTGATAAATCATGTAATCGGCAGAAATTCAAAGTTTCACATTTCAAAACTTGGAACACATTTCTTCTGCCCAATTTTGAACTCGCTTCAAACTTATCTGTACTTGACTTTGAATAGAATGCATACCTTTTGATCAATAGTCAAAATGTTGTCAACATATAATGACCTCTCAGTTCATGGATGAAGGCATTGTTCACTATGCTGTTAATATTTATATTGGATAGAGTAACTAACAATATGCTGCCCTGAGGTAGACCAGTTTACATTGGATAGATTTCAGAAATGGCACTGCCGACCTGAATTACCGGGGTCGATAGTCTAAAGGGTCGGTTTGGTCCTTTTGGTGCTTGTATTTATGTTGCTTCTCTCGGCGAATATACACCTTTCCCAAATTCAATTGAAAATGTTTAGTATGGTATTGAGGATGGTGTCAGATAAACGCTTCAGAAGTTGATAGTGGATATCCTCTGGTCATCTGAAAGTGTCATGCCCTTGTACATCTCAGAGTGAAGGCTTTTATTCTTGTAATCTTCAGCACGAAAAGGTTTTAAATGCATGGGAACTTTTTCTTTCAGGGTTTTCAGGCACTTTTCAGAATATTTCTTCTTCTGATGAGTTTCTCGAAAATCATGTGATCAATTTATTTGAGATTTCTGATATGTTTGTCACCATTTCTTCAGATTTCATCAAATGGTTGGCGCAGCTTCTCTTATTTTACCATTGATTTTTCATGCAATATTGCACTGATTTAATAGAGGGGAGAGAGTTCAATCCATTAACATTAAACCTCTGCGTTCTCCTCTCACTTTAGCTTGATATATGCTGTGTTTATTCAGATTCCCTTTTTCATTATTGGTATTTAAATGTTTAAGAACCTTTTACCATTCCCTGATGGCCTCTTTGAATGCATCGTCTCTTTAACCGTTCCTTGATGACATCTTTGCATCATCAAAGCATGACTTGTTGGCACGATTAGGAATCGCCGTTATTTTTATTATTGTATAATCAGCAACAATCTAGGCCAATTTTGTAAATATGCATACTGGATTCACTACGTTATCAAGAAAAATCCGTAAAAGTTATAGACTGCAAATAGTCAAATATAAGGTCGAGCATGATCTTGTGTCAGGAAACAGTAGCATATCGCTTATTATTAGAAAGGCAAGGATTGTGTTTTGCAACAAACCTTCAATGTTTTTCACTCCCACATTGATATCCTTACAACATGAGAGTGTATGGAAGCGTTGGGGAGAACAAATGTCGCTGGTAACTATTCAATAATATTGTTAAGGACAGATTAATTAATTAAAGTGCTTGAATGGATTCACCTTGAATAAAGTGAAATTACACACAAGCAATAACAGACGGTAAGGTTCTATTCAGTTTAAATTGTCTCCGATGAGTTTTATTATTTACGATGATGGGATTCTTTCTGCAGACAAATGAATATATCTGAATGTGGACAAGTTTAAAAGGTTAACTTTGTAGTTTTTCTTTTTAAACGCCTCTTGAAGGTAGACAGTTGTTGGGTCATGTTCCTTACGTAACGACTATATTCTTTAATATCTAACGTAAATCCTCAGCAAGTCCACTTTATTATGGTGTCAAATATATTTATAAATATGGAAGTACGTGACTTCTAAAAAGGTTTGGGGGTTTTTTTTAGTGAGTTGGATCTAACAAGTCCCATGGAGGTAGAGTATCTTTCTAGACTAATACAAGCTGTAGAGCTTTCCGTGGGCTTGATTTTGAATGATTTGCTACACCTTTTCACTGGTTGCATTTATTGCGTCAGTCTGACTGGCTGCTATCGGAGTATTTTAGGGAAGTCAAGAATTTGAACGTCGTCTCTCCTCTCTGTATAATGTCTGTCTGTTTTACTATAATGTTCTCAAACAACCATGTTTCCTTGATCGTAGTAGTCACTTTTAAAAGCATAGATTTATCATAGCCCTGTAAATGCAGGCTACGACAAAACAAAATATCAGACGTGGAGATCTTAAAAATTATATATCATGCATACAAAATAAGAGATAAAGGGAAGACATGTAAAATCCTTTAAACATTCTTAAATTTAATTGCACAAACCGCATTCCCATAAAAGTCCAAGATTTTCTTCGGTGGTACATCTTGGTAACAATTTCAAGCACTGCTCCTTACAATGCTTCAGTGTCAAAGGGCGGATATCGACACACTTTTACGAATGTGTTTGACTGTCAGTGGTCACTGGCAGGGTGTCCACGAGTCAGATATGCGTGCCAGTTGCTGTATTTCACTTACCCATTAAGTACATTCTTAGGGCCATCCCAGCAGGAGCAGTGTGTGTGTGTGTGTGTGTGTGTGTGTGTGTGTGTGTGTGTGTGTGTGTGTGTGTGTGTGATTTGGATTTTAAACTTTACCTTCAACAATATTTCAGTCATATCTGCAGTGTGTGGCAGTTCATGGTGATATCTATCACTTAGGCATCATACCGTACATGTAGCATGATATCCCACCCAGTCACATTATCCTGATACCAGGTCGACTAGTCCTTACACTAACCTCTTAGTGCTGAGCGTCTTTGGTATGACTCGGCCGGGGTTTGAACCCGCGACCTCCCGTATCCGAGCTGGACGCTCTTAACACTAGGCCACCGGGGCGGTATCTAACAGGAGCTAGATGATAAAATTGAATAAAAAAAATGAAAGTTATTTCTGATGGGCTTAGATCTAATTCAAAGAGTTTGAGAATGGCTGTAAGTTCTACTATAAAAATTGAGGATTTATCCGGTAACCAGAGTTAGACGGTGCCATGGGGTTTTGCACTTCATCTACATCTTTCCAACCGTCTTTATAATGGGACGTATAGCTATGTATGTTGGCTCTGATTTGATTGAATTTATTTGAAAAAGGAGAGAATCTGTTTGAATTTGAAAATGTGAAATATCTTCTTGTTAGGTTTTGATAACCAGATTAGTTAATTGGGAATACAACAATTTGCAGCATTTTCAACATTGAGTTTGGTTGCTTCTAAGCAGGGACGAATTCAATTTACAATAGGTGTACAGAAGTTCTGTTTCTAAAAGTACAAAACTTGGAATTTGGACCTAAACATTACATCATAGGCGGGGTTAAATGTAGTAGAAGATACTTTGATAGCATGCCAAAGGGTACATTTGTAATTGACTTTATGTGAGCATTCAATATTTTTCTTAACTTTGTTTTCTTCATTAATAGGATTTTTGGATAACATTATGTAAATAGTTAAATAATCGTTGATTAACCATTGGTCATAGCAAGATAAACATTTCGTATAGGTCTTCAAGGGCTTAGACGAAGCTCTCGACTTTAGAGCTTACATTTTAAAAAAATCTCAACTAAATATATTAACATTTGGTTCAAATGCCGTTTTCGCTCACTTAGTGCACATTGATCTGCTAATGAAATAATGTCTAACGAATCCCATCTTTGAGAACGGTTATCAATGGATTGAGCTACTTTAATGTTGGTTGGAAGTTCATAAAATCTTACCAGAAATTGACAAAACAAAATTAAGTGCATACTTTTTTTTGTAATGCAAAGCTTTTGTTAAATTAACCTTTTTGAAAAGCAAAATTGAGTTACTCAATACAAATCGGCACGTTGTTCAAACTTTAGATTTTATTTACTCAGAGGTCTACCTCGAGGAACTTTTAAAATATTTCAACCACTTAAACCAACCCCACCCCTCCTACTTTCTTGTCAAACTCTTGATGCTCGTACAACTAATTCTACCGTATCTATTAGCAGAGAATGCATGCTTTCGAGTTGCATGGTCTTACTGCGTACTAAAAAAAATAAGCGTTAAATTAATGACATTCTGAAAAATTATAATAATTCATTTCATCATTCACACACACCCTTTCCAAACTTGTATTGATTTCTTTAATCTAGAACACCATTAGATAACAAGGTACAAATTTAAGAAGATAAAGTGCAGGTGGTTACGTTAATGGGAATTTCGGGTAGGTCGTTTTCATTGATTTTAGTCAGCAATTATTGACATATAATGTTGCATGGACGTAGCCAGGTTTCACAATGCGGTCATTGATTATGCATGGAACTATTGATTCTAGATAGGTAGCTCATGAATAAAGTTTTATGAAATATAACCACAATAAACAGTTGTAGTTAAGTACAACCATGGCTTCACAAAGTGAAAGTTAAACAAATTGTCCCAACTTGATTCGCCAACTTGACACGCATCTAAGGATTTAGAAAAATGAAACTATGCAATACATGTAATGAAAAGGGCGGTTTATTCCACCTGTCATGGTTTGTTTTACCGTTGTCATAATAATGTTGGACGTGAAAAGCAATCGTAATTTGAACGACATTTATGTTAACTTGGAATGATAAAGCACTTGATGACGTTGATTATACTTAATACGATTGCAATTCGAATTGTGTTGAAGACGTTTATTGCAATGTAACAGTAGAACTTGTCTGATCTGAATGAAAATTATACATTCAGAAAATGGCAACTATTTTTACACAAGTTGAATATTCTTTTAATCTCACACGAAATGTATGAACACACCGCCCTTCCATGGCACGTCAACACAATAGCGGTTGTATGGAAGAAATGGTGTCGAAAGCTCTGGCAAGATAAATTAGCAAAGCATAGCAGCGAGGAGGTGGGAGGTTGGGTTGGAAGTGAATGTGAGGCATATAAGATGTCACAGAGGCGAAATTTGTATAAGAGGGTCGTAGACTCGCATTCCACTCTAACAGGATTTGATATCTGTTATTGGACAGTGTTAAGGTAAAACAGCATTCCTGTTCTGATCAGCAGTGCCCTTATATGGGTGAGATAAGTGAAATGGTTGAAGCTGCGTTTGACCAAGAAAAGAAGGTTATTAAGCTTCAAATGTTCTATAACAAAGAGACAACAATGTCCAAGCAGTCATCACCCTGTTAGATATAGTTCTTTTAGCAAGGGATACGTATCTATCATTTAAAAACAATTGTATTTTACACACTTCTATACTTTTATTTCTTTTTCCACACTCTTTAAGATAGGCAATGTTTTGTATATTAGAAATTTATTTATTAAAAAATATGGCGGTTATGGGTTGTTCATAAAGTGTACTGTACAGAAAACTTTTTTAAAAAAAATATCAGACATCTTCTTTATGTTCGTCCTTCAAGTCTGAATACGGTTATGCTATCACTAACTGGTTTGGTATCCATCAGTATGTGAGTGGCTGATCAAGCTATCTTATGCTCTGAACTGTCAGTGTCACAATGATCATGAGATGCCGCTTGTGATCCTTTCATCAACAAAACACGTGCTGTCGTTCTGGGATTTACGTTGCTCGCTTTTCTGTGCTACCTCTTCAATTAACCTCCGTCAAAATTCTTTAAATCCAGAATGGATGAGACTAAGCAACGTGGAGCGATCTTGTTTAAAGTTTTCCCATGGTTAAGGGTCAAATTTAACATTGATGACTTGATGGAATCTTTACAGCTTTTGATGCACCCTGAATTCGCTTTCCTTCCTTCAGCTTGCCATTGGCGATCATCTTTATCTGATATCCTGGTGACGTGACCTGCTCATCGCTACTGTGATTTCACCAGCAGACTGTAGATGCATGAAGACCTGCACATGTGAGAACCTCAGTGTCTGGGGCTATGTACTGCCATCTTATCCCCATCAGTTTTCTTAGGCAGTCCTTGTCAAAATGGTTCAACTTCTTAGTATAGCGTCAACTCCCCGTCCAGGTTTTTCATGCACACAACAAGGTTCACATCACAAATAATTTGTAGACATTCAGTTTTGTTTATAGACGGGTGTCTTTGCGCTTCTACATATTTGCATGTAGTCTGCCAAATGCCACAATTGCTTTAGCGATTCTGGAGTTGGTTTCACCATCGATATGGACTGTATGTGACAATTTACTGCCGAGACAGGTGAACGTGTCTGCTGCCAGGAGGGTTCGGCCATCTATGTGAGTCTTTCCCATTGTGAGTTGGTATATCACACAAATTTGGTATTCAGGGAACAGTCAGTAGTTTCCAGTAAAATTCGCTTTCGACTGTAATCTCCTCAGACTGAAGAACTTGACATTAGTCCTATATCTGATGTCGATTACAGTGTCATGGTCACGGAAGACAGAGACGAATATATTAAAGACGGATGAGGGCAACACGCACAGCCTTGAATGATTCCACTGTTAACTATGAATTGTTCAGATGACTCTCCGTCGTACACGACAAACGTCAGCGTAATATCAAGGGACTGCCAAACTATACAAAATGAATTTATGTGTGCAACTAAACTGTGTCATCATTTTAGAAGTCCCCACTTTGACTATGTCTAAGGCTTTTATCAGGTCGATTAATGTCGTGTATAGGTTGAAGTTCTGATCCTGTCATTTCTTCTGGAGTAGATAAAGTTCATACACTATGTTTGTTGTCTCTTGTCCGTTACTGAAGCCACAAAGGTACTCAAGGGATGATCCCTTGGTCTGTGAGAAGGACGATGATATTTAGAATTCTTACGAGAATTTTGCCAGCAACTGCCAACAAGCCAGACGATCCTACAGCTGTCGCGGGAATTTTCTGTTGTCATTTTGCTTGTACAATTGGAAGGTGGAGGCTTCAAAGTACTTCAAGAGTAAATTTCCTTGAGACCACATTGACTAAACGACTGTTTACGCCATGTTTGGACCTCCGTTTTTGTAGATTTCTGCTGATATAGCATCTGCACCATGTGTTTTGCCATTGACAGTTGATCAAATGCTTCCTCAGTTTCAGTCAGCTAAGGAGGATGAGGATCAGTAATTGACATATTGATATCCATTTGGGACAGTCTATTATTTAATAAGGATTAGTGTACATTGAGGATGTTGACATGTTCGGGCCAGCTTTCTGGTATATTTTATTTGACAGTGAACAGTATGGTGCTGTCAACACTCGGTACTGTTTATTTTCCTTGTGACAGTGAACCATGTGTTATCTTCCAAACATCTCTTCGGGATTGCTATAATTTCGGGTTCGGCCAACGCTGGTATGTGAGAAAATGTCCCAATAGCTTCCCATGTTTTTTCCAGGTCTCTCTCCACTATATATCCCGGCCGCCATGTATAGCCAATTATGTGTTGAAAAATGGCAAGGATAAAACAAGCAGGAACTTCATTTTGTTTCTTTGTAGTAGTGCTTTATCGTATCTTAGCAAACAGTGACTATATTGTGCAAACTTAACGAAAATATTCCAAAAGTGTACTTAAAACTCTACGAAACAAATCATACGAAAAAAAAACTTTTTCCATGCACAATAAGACATAATATAAAACGAATAAAAATGTTAACATTTTTTCAAATATATATTAAACAAAATTTAAGGTACCGCGTTTAAAAGCCTTTTTATATTTAAATTTCTTGTAGAGAGTCAAGTTGTGCAAGTCCGATGCGCGATAGCCTCAATGACACGTCTTCTGTCTGATTTGACTTAAACGCAAGAAGAAAGTCTATAATAGTCTCTTGGATGCTGTTAAATTTTGGAGCTTTTATTCCACGAATTTTGCCAAGTATGGTAAACATGTTCATTGATACACTAGATTAAGTTACGATCAAATTTGTAATGAAAAGATGTTAAATTCTCTAAATTGCATGTACAA